GGCAGGAATTTTTTTTTTTTTTTTTTTTGTGTGTAAAAGTTAATTAACATCAAAGGGTATATCCTTTAATTTGGGTTCAAGTGTATTTAGAATAATCAAAGAATAGCCGTGATGTTGGTAAATTTATTGTCATGTGATTAGGAGGTCATGAATTCAGACTATGAAAATAACTGTGCAAAAATATAGGATAAAATTGCATATAGTTGATCTTTTATGGTTATGTTATTTATTGGACTCCGAGCATAGTGAAAATTTAATGTGTTGGCCACTAATGTTGAGTTGGTTTCTTTGTTATTAGCTATGTCCTACTTGGTTCCCGTCCACCTCTCGACACAATGGAGGTTCCGTAGCATATCATGAGCACCATGCTAAGGGGCAATTGAGCAACTCAAACGTACCGTCTCATCTTATTCTAATATACGAACAAAAGGAAGAAGGTTAAGAAAGTGGCCTCATTATTTTCGACGAATGAGATTCAAATGAAACCCAATCTATTTTGTCCTCTAGCTCCGTCCCGATTGTACCCTGAGCTATATTAGTTGTAAATAACTTCGTAGAGTAGGACAAACGTGGCATAAGGAATTCAAGATTTTGATAGAGTTAAAATTTTTATTAATAGAGTTTCAAACTTTTAAAAAAATAAACATACTAAATAATCGAAGAAACATCCATATATATATATATATATATAAATAAAAGATAATTTTAATAAAGTAATTTTCCGAAGGGATTAGAACACGACTCCAGCTCTATTTCACGTGGATATAAATAAGGAAGCCTCATAGTGAAGTTCTGCTCTGCTCTGTTTTTTCAAACTTTCAGAAACTTCAACTTTTTTTGTTCTTTCATAATTTCATTCATGAAGTTCGATCTCGAGAATCCATTAACGGCCTTCGATGGACACGACGACAACGACGCCGTTTCAGCTCTCTTCGCCGCCGAGTCCGATCACACGCCGTCCTTCAAATCTACCGACGTTCACTCTTCCATTCGCAATCACTGCTTCACTCTCATTTCTCAAGTAAAAATACTGTTCAAAATCCTTAACTAATTTGTGCTGATTCAATTTTGTTTAAATCACTATGTTCTTAGTTTTTTCTGTTTTTTTGTTTGTTTTGCAGGCGCAGTTTTCGTATGATATTGATCGATTTACTGCATATCTAGCTGTTAATTACATCGATCGGTTCCTATCCAAGCAAGTTGTTCTGGTAATTTATCTCATCAGTCAATCGCATCAAACATAAGCAAATGAAGAATCTGAAACAATGTATGCATATGTATATGCTGTAGAGAGAAACTAAAATGTGAATTTCACGATGAAATTAGTTGAAGATCTTATGGAAGTTTTACTTATATGAAGAATCTGTAACAATGTCTGCATATGTATACGCTCTGCTGTAAAGAGAAACATTAGATCAGAATTTCGCGATGAAATAGTTGAAGATCTTATGGAAATTTTAATTATATGAAGAACCTGGAACAGTGTGAACTTCAAAAAATGTGAATTCCGGTATGAAATTGTTGAAGATCTGATGGAAATTTTTGCTTATCTGCAGGAGAATAAGCCATGGATTGTACGGATTCTCGTAACTGCCAGCCTCTCACTTGCTGCGAAGATGAGGAACATCAACAACTTATCGATATCCAATAATTCATCCATGGATCAATCTGAACAGAGAAACGATGAAGGGTTAATTTTCAATTTGCAGTCAGTTCATCGAATGGAGAATTTGATTCTCACAACGCTCAATTGGCGGTTACGTTCCATCACGCCTTTTGCGCTTCTGCAATTTTTCAACTCGTTGTTTGAACTCAGTAATGACCAGTCACTGAGTCAATCTCTCGAAGATCGAGCTTCAGATATCATCTTCAGCTCTCATTACGGTACCGTATTGTCATATCTCATCTTTATTTGAGTGTTTTTTTACCATTATCTTATCTTTGTTTAATAGAGTAGCGTTAATCTCGTGCTTAATTGCGGTATTGTAAAATCTCTGTCTGATTTTTGAATAATAGCAGTAATTAATTATTTCTATCTTTAATTTAATTTATTTTTGTTTAATAAAACGTTAATCTTGTGCTTAATTGCAGAAATTAAGCTTCTTGAGTACAAACCATCAATATTAGCGGCATCGGCGTTTCTGTGTGCAGCTCACGAGTTGATTCCGCAACAAGTTCCATTTTTCTTAGTTGCAATTAACTCTAAATGCGGACACATTTATAAAGTAAGATTCTTGTCGCTATTTATCTGATTACGATTATTTTTTTCAAAATTTAAGTAGTATACATTTTGTGATTATAAGTTACATATTTGATCTGAGTTCTATTTTATTTTATTTTGATGGGCGATCATTTACGTAGGAGGAAGTTTTGAATTGTTGGAGTGTAATGCGGGAAATTACTGTCGATGAAGTTGTTTCTTTTAGCTCGTTGACACCCAACAGTGTGCTTGACCAAAAACGTACAAGTGAGAATGCAGATAGGAACAATGGCAAGAAGCGAAGATTGAACGATTTTCGAAATAATCAAACGTTTTATATCTCTCAGGTTCAACACTACTAAAGAATTAGGGATGACAATTGGTGCAGTATGGATTTAACCTTAACCCTACATTACATTGCTTGCATAGTAAAATTGTATGTTCTCAACCTCTACTCCATGTTGTTGGTGTTTACTAAAAAATGTGATGGGAACGTAGAATGAAACAATTGTGGAGAACAAAATTAGAGGAAAATTGTACTCCCTCCATTTGAAGATTAGTGATCATTTTGGTATATTTAATATATTTTTTGATTTAAGATGTAAGGTTGATTTTTTTTTTACTTTTTAATATTGTGTCAAATAAAAAAAAAAAGATACAAACAAACAGAAACATAAGAACTAACTTCGCCATTTTGAAAAGTTACATAATACTCTTTTCTACGTCAAGAAACATGAATCACAAAGAGAATACTTTTCTCTTGATAAATCAAATATGACACAAATCTAAATTAATCGATTTGCTGCTACTAAATGGAGGAGTGTTTAAATGGGAGAGAAGGTGGGGATAAGAGAGATGAAACGTTGAAAATAACCGTCTTTCACTTGAATTTTTGTCAATTTTAGTTCCAATAGATATGTAATTAAAATAATAATACTTCATCATTCATTTTGGATTTTACACGTACTTTTAAAAAATAATTCTATTAATATGACTATATTGTCATTATGCCAATGTAGACTGATGTGAAGTCTTTAGATGTTAAAAAATAATTTCAAATCCAAAACATACAATAAAATAATGTCACTAGTTCGAATTCGATCATATATACTACTCTCATAATTTAATGGTACTATCTCCGTCCACTTTTAATTATTATGGTCTTCTTTTTTAGAGTTAAACAATAAGTACTTCGACTAATATTTTATGATGTATTTTTTCATCATATTGATATGCAAAAAATTGCAATTTATAGTATTTTTCGTATAGTTTTTGAATATCCAATTTTTTTTGTTTAATATATCGAATTAATGTAATCTAATTTTACTTTGAAAATTAGTCAAATTGAATTTCGAAAAGCGTAATATGACAATAAAAAGTGACAGAGGAAGTATCACTTATCACCGATTTGATTAACATAACAATTTTTTTCTTAATCTCTATCTGTTAAATTTCATGTATGATCAAAGATGTAAGGTAATCAACATTAAATATCGTTAATTAGATAAATTTTTTTTTACTTTAATCAGATGTTTTGTATTCAAATCTCAAATATACAATTCTTTTATTAGAAAATATTTTCTCTCGAATAAGCTCCAAGTGATGCAAATCTAAATTAGTAAAACTCTCCATTATCGAAAATCGAATAGGAAATTAAAAAAAAAAGTGTCACCTAAATCCACAGGGAAAGAATATGAAGTTGTAACCTTTTAACACGATAGGCAGCCTAAAATTCCACATTTTCTTTCACACATTTCGTCGTACACTTTCCGGGCATGGCATCACCGAAGAAGCCACCAACAGAATCCGACCGACCACCGACAGCCATCATGCACCAACCGGCTTCCCCTCGCTTCCCGCCGGGAACACCTACATCCGGTGCTAATCGGAAGATCGCAATCGCCGTCGATCTCAGTGACGAAAGCGCTTACGCCGTGAAATGGGCAGTAGAGAATTACCTCCGTCCAGGTGACGCCGTCATTCTCCTCCACGTACGCCCTACATCCGTCCTCTACGGAGCTGATTGGGGCGCTATAGACGTCTCTATTGACACAACGGATGAGAAGTCGAAGCAGAAACTGGAAGAAGATTTCGACAACTTTACAAGTACGAAATCTAATGACTTAGCGCAGCCGCTTGTTGATGCCAACATTCCGTTCAAGATTCGTATTGTGAAGGACCATGATATGAAGGAGAGGCTATGTTTGGAAATTGAGAGGTTGGGGTTGAGTGCTGTGATCATGGGTAGTCGAGGGTTTGGGGCATCGAGGCGAAGCACAGAAGGAAGGCTTGGGAGTGTCAGTGATTATTGTGTGCGTCATTGTGTTTGCCCTGTTATTGTGGTGAGATATCCTGATGATAAAGATGGTGTTCCTGATGATGATGATAGTTTGGGTAATGATGGCTCAGCTAAAAAAGTAGCAAAGGCGAATGAGGTGCTTCATCCGGTGCCTGAGGAGGATTCCCTTTATCACGATGCATCGGATAAAGCCACAGGTATATCTTAATACTTACAAACTACAATGTGTATTTCATTTGCTCAGCTTGATGAAAGAAGAATTAGTTTGTGAGATGAGACTGTGAACTGTATTCAACAAATCAAAATGCGGCATTTAGTTAATATGATGCTGGTTGAAACTAAGGTTGTGACTTCGTTATCTATTAAGGACTACGCGATGTGTAGTTTGTTTTGATCAGCTAAGCTAGTTGTAAGTAATGCTATATGGAAGTATTTTGATCGATTGCTGTAGGAAACTGGGATTCTATTTGCTATGGGTTGTGAATTCTGTTTTTTTAAATGATGCGATCAGAGTGAAAGCGGGACTGCTTTGGACTATTTTTTCCTTGAGCCGAGGGTTTATCGGAAACGTCCTATCTACCTCTGAGGTAGGGGCAGTGTTTTGGACGGCGAAAGGCGACAAGGGTCTGCCTCGCCACACGAGTGGCGAGGCGCTTGCCTTTTTGAATTGAGGCGCCAATTAATACCAAAAACTTAAAATATTTAATTGCATATATAAATATACAAAATCTCAATAGCAATAACATATATTATCTAATACAATATTATTTAGTATAAAACTAAATTGAGTAGGGTAGAAAATAAATGTAGAAGGATTGAATTTTAAAAAAAAAAAAAATGTAGGCAGACTGCTGTAATGCAGTCAGTTAGCAGTAGCTTCAAAATAAAAAAAACAGAGTAAAAAACATCGTCTGTTTTTACTGGAGAAGATAGTTGCGAAGTAGTGAGGGAGGAGAACTGGAGAAGAGAGGGTCGCGATGGAGAGAAGAAGTTCTAGGTTTGCAAAAACACGAAATAAACCCTAATATTGCCTTTTAATTATTAAATCATATTTTTTTTTTTAAAAACAAATAAAAAGGCAACGCCTTGTCGCCTCGCCGCGTCGCCACATTGCCTTTGGCGAGAAGCGAGAGGCGAGCGCCTTTCATAACACTGGGTAGGGGTATGGTGTGTGTACACTCTAGTCTCTACCCTCCCAAAACCTCACTTTGTGGGACTAACCTGGGTATATGGTTGTTGTTGCTGCTGTAGGAAGCTGGGAATGGACTGATGAATCTTTGATTAGTTGAGCCTCTATTTCATTTTATGGAGATTCTTGTGGATTGTACATTCTGAGAGTAGTTGAAGGTTTCTCTGTTTTAGGATCGTCAATCTAGTTGCTTGGCTTTGTTGGAGTGAATGAAATGATTGAGATTGGGGTTACAAGCAATAATTACTATGTCCCTATCTCAAACAAGTTGGGGTAAGTGGTAACAGTGTAAAATCTTGGTAGATGTTAATCGAAACTTAGCTTTGGCCAAGTATTTGTGCTTTTAGCTACACCTGTTTCTTATTTGATGATTTCTTCTCTTTCATTCGGCCTTTTCTCTTTTCCATTTATGTTCGCTGACCTTTGTGTTAGTTGAACATAGTTGTTCTCCCTCCCATTTCTCTTTCTGGTTAACTTATCAGTAAAAAGGAAAGTGCATCAGCTTATATTTTTCCATATATACCTTTTCCTGAAGGGGTATGCTGGTTATGTAAGCTACTACATTAAACGTATAGATGATACACCATTAGGCAAACTTTGGATTTCTGGGGCAGATTCGATGATTGAATTTCTATTAGGATACAAAATAGGCACATTTGTCTATTTTCTAGATTTGTAGATGACATATATAATTAAAATGCTATAAGGAAGAAAATGCTTGAATGGGTCCCCAAAAACGTGTAAAATACTAAATGATCTGCTTCACTCAAAAATGTGCCAAATTGTTTCACAACAACACTAAATCAATTACATCATGCTTTGGGAGATCACTTGAGACCATGTGAAATGCTTTTGGGGGAACAAGTGTCGTGGTAGTGGAAAATGCTCAACCATTAGCCATCGCCGAAAGAAGGAAGAAAATGCTTGAATGGGTCGTGGATCGATTTCTGAAGTTCTGAAAACTTTTACGTGTTTCATTTGTGGGTAGGAAAGCATGGCCCATGGGTATAGAACTGACCATTAACTTAAAACAAGAGTCAAGAATAGCAAATGATTGAGGGTAAGGAGGAAACATGAGATTGATAGAAACACTTGAAGGAAAGGTAACACTGTAGTGTACCATGTACAAGAGGAGGTATGCGAAAAAAGAGAGGGTTAGGATGGAGAGGAATAGGGGGGATGGAGGGGAAGGATATAGGATAATGAGGTAGCCTATAGGAATTTGTTCACCTAGGTCCCCAATGTTTTCAGATGGGGAAGGGCTGGCGGTAGAAAGGCGAACAAGATAGAATTTTTTTTCAAGGACTCAATAAGTCCCAAGTGTGGATGAGGGAGGTAGTCCAGGGAAATGGATGAGGAGAGTTCATTTCAAATGCAAGTCCAGGGGATTAGAGTTTGACTTTGTAGTGACAGTCTGAAGAAGACAAACAAGACTCATGAGTGTATGCTTATCATGAACCCTACTGGGGATGGTTGGTGGTAGAAAAGAGGCAACGAAGAGAGAGCAAGAGAGAAGTGGTGGGTCTGGTGGATACAGTTGTAAAGAGGAACCACTGGGGAGGGTACTCTAAGCTGACAAAAATAGGCTGGAGACTTTGTAGAGGGGAGTGAATAAAGAGAGATTCTCTCCCCTTCGTTATCTTAAGCTTGTTTTTGTTTGTATTTCCATGGTTGAACAGTTAATTTTGCATACCTGTAGGTTGCTCTACCAAGGTTTTGAAATTTTAATGTAGTGCTGAACTTTTCATCTTGTTTATCTCCATTGATGATGTAGACTTCCAGGTGCTGAATTTGTTATTTCTCTTCATGCATCCTTTATATCTACTACAAGTGTGACGTTACAGTTTCCCGCTGGTCTGAAATTCATTTAAGTTTAGTGTGATAATAGGATTCAAGGATAAAGAATTCACCACTTGAACTGGGTGTGATTTTTCAGCATACCACCATGACTCTCAGCATTTATATGGTATGGCGTATGTTGCAAAAGTGTAGCTTTTCATTGGCGACTGGTGAGTTAGATGCTAAGCTGTTAAGCTACGCTAAAATGACTCAATATTTTTAATTGTTTGTCGATTTGTGTAGAAAAGTCTCATGTAAGTTATTCATACGAGAGGCATAGCGTAAACACTTTGCGCGTCTACTGCAATTTTTGTGCTGAAGTAGCTTTAACTAATTAAGAGTATGCATATACTATTATATGTAGTTCTAACTAGAGGCCCAGGGACCTCTTTGAAAGTCGTCTTTTTTCATCTACACTACAAGACGGGCATGAAAGAAAACACAAGTGTGAGTATTGATTTCAAACTGACTGTCTTGAGTCCAATCCTTCATACTTATACTGAAAAGTTATTTGACAACATGAGACATGTCTAAAATCCATGGAAACAATTCTTTTCTTTTCTGGAAAACTTTTTTACAGTACAAGATGGAAAATTGTCAAATATAATGTTCAAAAGAAAATGACATCTCTTGTTTTTTCCTTTCTTGTGGCCAAGTTTTTGTTTCCTTTATTCTTTTCTAAAAGTATTAGCTACTCCATATCAGCAGAACTGGACATCCGTATACATCGAGTGGACCTATTACAAGAAATATTATGTAATATATATTATGCATTGTTCTGGATGACATAACTGATTACCAAGCTGACTTTGCATGATGCAGAAACGGAGAAGGCTTCTTGAATAATGAAGACGGGTGTGCATGTTTCAATACTGACAAAAAAGGGCCTTCAATGGTGTTGACCGCGCCAGTGAGAAATGAATTTGGTGGTTCTCTATGCCTTCTTTCCGCTAATTATCCTCTTCTGTGCTTCAAGTTCGTGAAGTCTGGAACAATTGATATTGTTCATGAGCTACTCCTTTATTCTCTCTTTCTTTTTCATTTTCCTTTTCTCTTTTGGAGGCGCGGGGGCGTTGTTTTAGTTTTTTGAATTGCCTGCCTGTTTTCTGGAGCTGTTATATAAGTTCACGGTTCTTGGTTGATTGCATTGATATGGAACAATGCGTTTTGTCTTAATTTTTGTGGCTGTTCTCTTTTCCCTTTTGTTTGCTTCATTCTCCTGGCGAAGACGAATTTGTAGGAGGCTGCTGCCCTACATGATGTTTGAGTTTTCTATTTACTTCGATTTCTAGCTATGTTGCTCGGTCCCTCCAAAAGTGTTGCTGCACTCGTGTTCAGATCCAAAAACATGATTTTGGAGGATTTGGCACACACCTAACAATACTTTTGAAGAACTCGAGCAACATATAATAGACCTCCCACTACAATGGATTCGAAGGAGTTTCAACCATTCTGCTTCCATTGTCGTATAACCCTGTGGAATATTGGAACATCCTTCCATCTCTTATTCAATCTGATCTATCGGTTCTAATACCAACTCAATGGGAGGAATTCCACGGGGTTCTTGCTACCTTTCATTAACACAGATACTGGGTACCTCTATCCTAACTCTATCTACAAATGTTTAGACATATGGGAAGAAATCATCAAGTGTTTACGTTTTTCTCTGAAATTTGAACTTGAGGCTTCATGGAATAGTTCTAATGTACATGTATGGTTCTCAGTTTGATGAAATAGAATGATTCTCACTTTTCAAATTTGAGAGTATCAATCAAATTAACTTAATTAGGAAGGTAAATGATCTAAAAGAAAAGGTAACAACTTACAACATCAACAAGAAGGTGCAAAAATTGCTTATGTTTTATTTATCGATATCCAGAAAATGAACGTTTGTAATGGCCCATAAAATCGATCTCCCCATCGAGTGGAGAAATTCGAAATTCATTTACCTTCCTTTAAGTTGACACACTAAAAGGTGGAATACTTTGTTGAAACCTAAAAAAATTACTAGGATCCACTTTACTTTTCACCTTTGCTAACCTCTCAAAATTACCATCAAAATATTTTTCACCCCAAACTCTAGAATTTGAATATCTATATTCACCATCATTTTTCCCAAAATCAAGATCCCTATAATTGAGATAACCATTTCTTGGGAAATGTGACACAAATGGCTTCATTTTCTCATAAAGTTCCCTTAGCCATTTAATCTTCTTGTTAGATATATTTTCACTATTATCATACCAATTCACCATGTATTGAATGTTGAACAAATTTCCCTTTCTATAAGGGAATGGAATTTCGAATTTCGAAATTTCATCCATTCTTCCACCTAATGGATCAAATATCATCATAGGCCTTTCTTCATCGCTAAACATAGTTCTAATCATTCCCCATACCTCTTTTGGCAATGGACTCTTCACAAAATCAGACGTTGCCTTATAGTAATTCTTTCTTTTTGGCATGGTCTTGTTCACCATAAATTCAATCGAATCGTTTGTTCTCTTGGATGCAAAATACAACGTTGTATGAATCCAGGGGACTTCAAAGCATTCTTTCTTTATACAGGGCAATCCTATCGCGCAATTCACTACTGGATCTTGAAAACAATCCTTTGTAACTAACTCGAATTCGGGGAAAGTTTGGTTCAACATTGGGAGTAACTCACTCACTCTACCAAGAAACAACCCTTGAAATGACACTTGTACTATTTTTTTACTCCCAATTCCCATATTTTGAATCAAAACTCTCATGAACAAATTTCGAGACAATTTATGTGACACATTTTGCCATTTCTGGAGTAAATTTATAGTCTGTCCATGTAATTTTCGACGTACTGTGAAAACAGTAAGCTTTGATGGTACACGTACTAGTTTAACTTTCCAAGCTAAAATAACACAAAAACTCGATCCTCCACCTCCTCTTATAGCCCAAAACAAGTCTTTTCCCATCGATTCTCTATCAAGAATTTCTCCATTTACATTCATTACACGTGCATCAAGGACATTATCAGCCGCTAGGCCGAATTTCCTCATCAAAGTACCAATTCCACCACCACTTATTATCCCACCACTCCCAACACTAGGGTACAATCCCCCTGGAAATGCAAGATTTTCGCCTTTTTTCGCGATTTCATAGTAAAGTTGCCCCATTGTCACTCCTGTTTGAATCCAGGCTGTTTCGTCATTTTTGTCAATATAAATGTCATCTAACTTGAATAAATCCACGATAACGAATCGTTCCCCTTTTTCAGAGCGAAAAGATAAGCCTTCATAGTCATGGCCACCACTTTTCACTCTAATTTGTATGCCAATTTTTTTGCTACAAAATATAATAGCCCCGATATCGGATTCGTTTATCGGGGTTATTATAAAAATTGGATGTGAAGATGAAGAATTTAGCCACCTTGGATTTTTCTGACCATATTCTAAAAGATATGAATATGTTGGTGATTTTGGAAAATGTATATGTTTTTCTATATTTTTGTCTGAAGTATGGCTATAAATGCAATTAAGAAACTCTTGTTGAGCATTAGTTTCAATAAAATTCAAGAATGAAACTAACAAAAATGGGAGAAATTGAAAATATCTTCCCATTTTTCGAAAATGAAAGAAGCTATAAGGCAAGTGGCTTCTTTTATGGTGACCAAACTCTAGTGAGATTAAAGACTATAAATTAATTAATCAAATCTCTAATATCACTTGTTAACATCTCGAAGTTGACTAGAATAATCATTAGTTATTCTCTTTTCCTATATGAGCTATCACAATCTATTCAATTAGGTGTGTTTTAATATATAAATAGTGACAGACAGATAATTCATGAAAAAATGATATAAAATTGATAATTGATATATAGTTAAGATGTAATAGTTGCAAAAAAGTGATAGTTGAGATATTATTTTTTAAAACTATTATTTCTAAAAAGAATCTAGCAAACGTTACAGTGAGACATAAAAATCTGGTCATCAGCATGAAATTTTTGAATTTGAAAAGTAAAGTACTATTTTTGTCAGTATTATTGGAAAAAAGAAAGATGCTTGTTTAGTCAATAGTTTTTTTTTTAGGGAGGATAATAATATTTATTGATGGAAAAATGATAAATATATCCCGAACTATCGTAAATAATATGCAGATATTCTTTGTCATACTTTTGAAATATTGATGCCCATGTCGTCCAAAAACTAGAACATATATACCCTTTATACTAAAGGACATACACGTGTCATAATCTGATCCACCGATCGACATTTATTAGATATTGGATCGACGGATAAGATTATGCCATGTGTCCCTATTTAGTCTTCCGTTAGAGTGAATGACATATATGCTCTAGTTATTGAATGATAGAGGACGGAGGGTATTTGCATACCATTTACGATAGTTCAAAGGTATATTTATCCTTTTTTTCCTTTATTGATTATTGAGCTGGCAAGGACCATTTGGATTTTGGCTGTAAGCTAAAAAAAATGACTTTTATTTATTGTATGTATTAGACTATTAGCTCTATATATATGGAATATAGCACCTAAAATATCCTTTTGGAGTTACTTCTTTGGCCATGTTAGCTTTAATTTAAGTGGTTCATATTCAAGTGCGAAGTCGGAATTTTTATTAAAATTATTATAATTTAATAAGATTAATAATCTTATATTTTGTAAATTTTATTAAGTGGGGTTTGAGGAGAGTAGAGTGTACGCAGATCTATATCACTACCTCATGGAGGTAGATAGACTATTTCTGAAAGATTCTCGACTCAAGTGCACCAAATCCAAATAAAAGAAGAAAATAGTGACGAATGCATAACAATTAATAAGAAAAATAATGTGAAGTCTACAAGAAAGAAACAATAATAACAAAAACAACAAAATAGTGCGATAATTGAAATACAATAAACAACACATGACAAGAACTACAAGGGTAAAAGTACAACTAATACTACAACATACACTAATAAGCCTATACCACGCCATTAAGTCAGAATTTTTATAAAAAATATTATAATTTAATAAGATTAATAATAATATATTTTATAAAATTTCACTAAGTGGGGTTTGAGGAGAGTAGAGTGTATGCATACCTATATAGCACTACCTCGTGGAGGTAGAGAAACTATTTCTGAAAAACTCTCGACTCAAGTGCATCAAATCCAAGTAAAAGAAAAAAATAGTGACGAAAGCATAGCAATTAATAAGAAAAATAGTGTGAAGTCTACAAGAAAGAAACAATAACAACAACAACAAAATAATGCGATAATCGAAATACAATAAACAACACATGACAAGAACTACAAGGGTACAAGTACAACTAGTACTACGACAAACACTAATAAGTCTATACCTTTGCAAGCCAAGACAACACTCCACCCCTACTAACCTTCTATCCTAATACGTGATCACCACTCTTTCCTATCTAAAGTAATATCTTCGATAATATGAAGTTACATCATGTCTTGTCTAATCACCTCTCCCCAATACCTTTTTAGCCCATGGGTAGAGACTAGAGCCCTACAACCACAAACATAATATAATTACTAGTAATTAAATATTTTTCAAGTTATTATATCTTGAGACTTTCTAGAAATAGTTGCTTACTGTAGGTCGATTTAACTTGCCAAGATAAAAAAAATAAAATAATAACGGCACAAAGTATTTTTTGAATTAAATAAACCACTCTTACATGACGAAGAAAACAAGAAAATGAAGAACTACATGTGTTACATACATATCCCAATTATAAATAACATTTTTACATATTCACAGGACGATAAATGAAATAAGAAAAAAAAACGTTATAAGTGCTTAGATAGGATAGATGGATATGACTCAATAACTAAAGAGGGACTATAGTCAAATCAAGTTGAGATAATTTGCAGTCACGAGTTCGAACACTTGGGATGGAGAAGCCTCAATAAGTTCCATTTGCCATTTCAAGAGATGCATATACACAATCCAATCTCCATTTCCTTTAGGGCTTGACATTGGCATCACATATCCCACTTTTCCGGCCCACGGAAAATGGTACGACCAGAAGGCTGGTAGACCCCATCCGAAATTAATCTTTTTCGCAGGAAAATGTTGCCCCGATGACACTACCACCGCGGGTCCATCACCATTCATGGCATATATTTTTGCGATAGATGGTTCAGGACGATGCGCCTCAACCCAATCTATCAAT